ATTTAAATCTACAGGCTTTCACCCAATACATTAGACTTTTTTGGTTTTTCATGACAGGGTTTCTCTGTGTAGCTTTGGAGCCTATCCTGGCACACATTCTATAGACCAGGTTGGCCTCGAACTCAGAGATCTTCCTGCCTCTGCTTCCCAAGTGCTGTGATTAAAGGTGTGCACCACCACCCCCAGGTTTCATTCCTTTACACAGCACCATTTGTTAAAGGGGCTGTCTTTTCTCCAATGTGTGTTTTTGTCATCTTTGTCAAAATTAGGTGGTCTACAAAAAAAAAAATCAAAAGCTGCATAGGTCTACACCAGGCCTTCCAGTCTGTCATTACAGTTTAGTGCCGGTATCAGATTGATCTAATGTCTGAGTAAAGCAGATGTGGCAATACCTCCTGCCTTGTTTTTGTTTAGCTAAGGACTGCTTTGCCCACCAACCTGTCCTTTGTTCAGAGACTGGGGTGGGGGTGGAGAGAGAAAGACAAGAATGGAGCTTCTCTGTGGCTTTGGAGGCTGTCCTGGAACTAGCTCTTGTAGACCAGGCTGGTCTTGAACTCACAGAGATCAGCCTGCTTCTGCCACCCAAGTGCTGGGATTAAAGGCGTGTGCCACCAATGCCCGGTGGAGGTTTGCACTATTTCTAAACAGGTGAAGGATATGGAACTTGCCAAAGAACAAAATTTTAAAATAATGAGAAAACAACCCTAAACGGGAGGCTCCCTGAACCGAGACCCTTTCTAAGTATCCAAGTGAACAACACAGAAATAATGCCTCAGGCTAAACTAGGGAAACTGAAGCATTTACTAAGATGGTGAAAATGCCTTCAGGAGCATAGAGGCCTTCCTCCTCCCTGATGCAACTGTTGATGAAGTGAACAAGATTGTCTCACAGAAAACTGTAGAAAATATGCTCACCGCCGGGCGTTGGTGGCGCACGCCTTTAATCCCAGCACTCGGGAGGCAGAGACAGGCGGATCACTGTGAGTTCAAGACCAGCCTGGTCTACCAAGTGAGTTCCAGGACAGGCTCCAAAACAACACAGAGAAACCCTATCTCGAAAAACCAAAAAAAAAAGAAAATATGCTCACCAGGCACTGATGATGCACACCTTTAATCCCAGCACTCAGGAGGCAAAGGCAGGCAGATGGATCTCTGTGAGTTCCAAGGCCAGCTTGGTCTACAGTGTGAGTTCCAGGACAGTCAGGACTTTCACAGACAAACCCTGTCTCAAAGAAAAGAAAAGACAAGGCAAGGAAAGGAAAATACAGACTCAGGTTCTGAAAGTTGTCCTACCACTAGGATTCTAAAAGACTTCATGAAATCATTAGACATTAATTGGCACTCTCACTCCTCTGGTAAAAATGACTCATGCCTTTAAATAACACATTAATAAATTAATTCTAGAGACTAAATTCGCTGGGTCTAAGTGTCCGTCTGTGGCTTTGCTTAGACTCTGCTCAGCATCTCAAAAAGCCTAGGACTGTGCCCTTATGAGGATCTATGGATTGAGGACCTAGGACTGTCTCCTTGAAGACCTAGGACTGTCTCCTTGAAGACCCAGGACTTACGAGGATCTAAGGATTGCTGTACCTGGGAAAGGTCACTGACCTCCATCATAGTAACCAAATATTGGGTTCTTGGAAACCTTCACTTCATTCTCTCTTAGACTAAGAGGCCTTCTTGCTCAGACTCCTCCACTCAAACTCCTAGCCCATCCTTTCTAAGAGGGGAATGACTGCTCTTAAAAAACTGGAAAGTGAACAAATTGGAACAGATCTGTGAGGGACCCATTCTGGTGAGGTTAATACTCAAATAGAGAAGCTGTGACAATGGTACCCAGAAAGCATGGACACTCCTACCACAAGAAGACCCTTCGAAAAAAAGGTTTTCTTTTTCCTTTTTTAGAGGCAGGGTTTCTTTGTAGCTTTGGAACCTGTCCTGCACTTGGTCTGCAGACCAGGCTGGCCTTGAACTCAGAGATCCATCTGACTCTGCCTCCTCGGTGCTGGGATTAAAGGTATGTGCCACCATGACCCTTTGAAATTAAATTAAGAATTTAAAATGAGCTAGCTCCAAGATAGCCAGAGCTGTTATGCAGAGAAACCCTATTTTGAAAAATCTAAGAGAAAAAAAAGAGATTAAGAACTGGTTTTAGTTCATTATTTGTAGAGAAAGATAATGGGAAACTTTGTGATTGATGTAATGTCGCGTCCGCTGCGCAGCCTGTGTCTAAGAATGTGCAGAGGGTGTCGGGGATTGACAACACAGAGACCCAAAGGCTCCTCAAGAAGGTTCTCCTTTATTCCTACTCTGGCTCATTGTTATATACCCTGACACCAGAGGTGGAGGTGGGTGGGTCTGAAGAGGCAGTTAGTCTTTGGAAAAGGTCAAAGACAAGGCAGTTCCCTTGGGCAAGCCCTTTTCAGGAACTTATTGCCCCGGCATTGTATTGTTTTTATTTTTTTATTTTTTTGGTTTTTCGAGACAGGGTTTCTCTGTATTGTTTTAGAGGCTGTCCTGGAACTCGCTCTGTAGACCAGGCTGGCCTCGAACTCAAAGAGATCCGCCTGCCTCTGTCTCCCGAATGCTGAGATTAAAGGCATGCACCACCACCACCCAGATGAAACAATAAGTTCTTTTTTGTCTTCTGTTTGTTTGACCCATCTTCATAGGATATGCAGACCAGAAGTATGTGGGCAAGAACTACATCAGGATGTATCTTGCACCTAATTGAACCTGATGGGAGATGCAAGAAATTATGGGTTTGCTTTTTTAAGCCCCTTCAAAATGCAACTCGTGCCGGGCGTTGGTGGAGCATGCCTTTAATCCCAGCACTTGAGAGGTAGAGGCAGGCAGATGTCTGTGAGTTTGAGGCCAGCCTGGTATACAGAGCAAGTTCTAGGACAGCCTCCAAAACTATACAGAGAAACCCTATCTCGAAAAACAAAAACAAAAACAAAAAAACCAAAATGCAACTCATGACCATCTCTTGAGAACCCAGAGGTGGACCTTGCTAGTCCTTTTTATCTGGCCAGTATTTAATTAAATCTTGCTTCATATTTGTCTCAAAATTGTGGAACTGGTGTTTCGCTTTAGAATCTAAGGGTTAATATCTGTTCATGATTAAACCTCTGTTTCTGAAAAATTGGGCTATGTCCCACCTGTATCCTTAACTACAAATAATTCTGTATTTGTCATAGTTGCATAGTAACAGTCTCAGGATTGGTGCAACTCCATAGGTGAACCTGTCCTGAGTTGATTGGTCAGCTGCAGTTGCAGAAAGGTTGCTGTGCCTGGAGGCTGTCCCAGGGCCATTGCTACCTACTGCATTGCAGTCCACTATTATCAGTAAAATGTGTCCAAAGCCTGACAGCTAACTTCAATTGGTTCCTTACCACATGGAGGTATCTGGAAGTTTCTTCCTGGTAATTAGGGAAAGGTGTGAGGGGTGGGGGTGGGGAGGTCAGCACATCCTGCTGAGTCAGGGGCCTACATCTTGCTGGTCTTTGCCTGTCATGGCTGCCAAAGCAGGGGGCTGGGTGATGGTCAGGGCCCTTCAGTAACCTTAACTAAAAATAATTCTATCTTGCCTGTCCCTGGAAATGGCAAGCATGTCTTTATTTCAAAGAATTGTCTGTAATCACCTTGCAACCCTACCTTTCTTTCAAAGGGTTGTTATGACTACCTGACTACCTATGATTAGGACTGCCTTGCTACAGCCACCTCGTAATCATGTCTTTGTTTCAGGAGGTCATTATGACTAACTTGTTATTCTTAAATTCTGCTCCTGTAACCCAGCCTACTTCACCCAAGAAATCCTCCATCTGGGAACCCCCTATACCTGAGCTATTAAAAACCTTGTCTTCCTCATGTCCAAGGCTTCTTTGGCCCAACTTCTTGGCACTTAGAAAACTCCATGAGCAGTTGAGCTGGGTGTGGAGGTGATGGTGTGGGCAGCTGTGGCGGAGTCGGCGGCAGCACACGTCTTTAATCACAGCACTCAGAAGGCAGAGGCAGATGGGTCTCTGTGAGTTCAAGGCCAGCCTGGTCTACACAGTGAGTTCCAGGGCTTTGTAGAGAGATGTTGTCTGGAAAAAGAAAAAAGAAAAAGAGAGAAAACTGCAAGACAAAATTCAAACAGTAAAAGAAGGTGCTCTACAAAACTGCAAGAGCCTTCACTGTAACCCTGTCTTTTAAGAATCAAAGACTCAGGCCATGGACCTTTCATCACTGGAACAGAAGGGCTGTACACAAATAAAGTAAAGGCCTCAGAAAAACTGTAGAGGTTGAAACTGGGCATGAGGAAATGAATCCATGGCTGGAATACACATTAAATAAAAGGTTGTTATGCCACAGCAGGGAACTGCCGGCTCACACAGCAGAGATTTGTGAAGCTTGCACAGCAGGAAGGGCAAGCCCCTCCTGTGGGAGCTTTCTTCCTGCTCCAATCAACTTTGGAAGAACAAATGATCTTCTTACAGGACAGGATACCCCAAGGGACACCATCTTGTAAGTCCTTATCCTTCCTGTTCCTGAGCAGTAAGTGGCATCTTGTTGTTCAAGACAGAAACCCCCTGCCCAAACTTTCTGACCTCCCTGTATAGGAATCATTTACACCTCCTGCCTTAAAAGTGTGTGTGGGCATTGTGGGGGGAAAACTGGAATTCTTGAGAAATGTGTGTGGATGTAAGGGTCTCCATGCCTTTGAAGATTTGACACCAACCACTCACCCCAAGCACTGACGGAGCAGATGCCAGCAGGCATCAGGGCAGCATTAATTGAGATCTGTCCTTTTCACTATTGTATATCCGAGTCTACCCCTAGTTCATTCTCCATCATCATGCCATACAAGGGAAGTTTCTGACTCCAGAAGCATCACTTATCTAGATTCCATCAGAGTGCCAGTAGGAGGCTCTGCTGAGTTTAAGGCTAGGAACAAAACAGCAGCAGGATGTGAGTCAGTACTGTTTTGGTGACCTACCAGAAATAAAAATGTAGACTGGCCTGGGCAGTGGTGGTACATGCTCTTAATCACAGCTCTCCAGGGACATATGTGGGCCACCAATTGGACATGCATGACACAGGTTTACCTGAAGTCCCTTTTGGGAGACAATAGAAAAGCACTCTGAAGTCCTTTTGGTAAGTGAAACCTAACTATAAATAATAATATCAATTCCATAGAACCTTGCTCATATTTTCTTTCAGAAATAAAGGCATCAGTCATTGTGCATCTTTCATGTGCTGTGTGTGTGTGTGTGTGTGTGTGTGTGTGTGTGTGTGTGTGTCTAGGTTTGTACACATGAACACAGGCGCCTGGGGCCAGAAGATGGTGTTGGTTTCCTTGGCATTAGAATTAGAGGCAGTTGTGAGCTGCACAATATGCATCTGAAAACTGTCCTCCGGAGATAAGAACAAGAAATATCCAGGGATCAATTCTTTTATTTTTTTTTAATTTCTGCCAGGGGTTCTCGAACTCACGATCCTCCTGCCTCAGCTTCCCTAGTGATGAGATTACATGTGTGCACTACACTGCTCACTCGGAGCCGTTAGTCAGAAGATTAAGATTGAAGACAATATCATACTGGTTATTTCCCCTCCAGCAGCATTTTAACGAGTGAAAAATAGGGGAAAATTATGAAATTACTCGTATGTGTTTGCAATGAAAAGAGTGAAAAAGAATTTGAACAACGCAGGACCCTCGGCCACAAATTGCTGGATCTCAAGAGCGGTGGTAGCCACCGTCACCGGAAGTGGACTCCGAAGTAGCGCTTCACCGCCCGCGCGGCCTGCTGGGAATTGTAGTTCCAGTCCTCGATGATGCCCCGGAGTGCTGCGTTACCTGGTGCCGGTCTTACCTACAAAGAGGTGAGCAGGGCTGGGCCGCCTCAGGGGCGGACAGCGGTGTCCTGGTCCAAACAAGGGGGCGCGGCCACCCAGAGCCAGGCTCAGAGGCTGGGAACGCGCCCTGTGACCCGGTCCCCACGTGCTAGCAGCCGCGGTACCCTGAATCACGCCCCGGGACAAGGCCACCCCACGGAGGCCAGGCTCCTGCGGCAGAACAAATCGCGGTTCCGAGAGCACTCTCCTCTTGCTCCGCCGAGCTCTGGCCTGGGCTTGTGTGAGGACATTGTGGTTAGTTAGCCTTCTCCTCTCCTGGCCTTTTTCCAAAGACGGTGTTGGTCAACATCAGGTGACCACGAGGGACTCCTGAGAGATCCCGAGGGATACTGAGGTTTCTGCTGTGCAGCACTACCATCTGCATTCTCGAAACCAATTAGATTTCTGAGAATAAGGTTAGGGAAGGGGTATTAGGTAGCCGAAATACGCGCCTTGAGAGGTTACATAGAATCTTAGAAAACTTCCTCCAGAACCAAAGGGCAGAATTAGGGAAGTCTGAGGAGATGGTATGCCTTAGAGAACTATCTTTCGAAGAATATGCCCCTGTCTGAGAATATGACCAAGCTCCTAGTGATTTGGAATTTCACCAAAAAACGCCCCATCTCTGAGCTAGACACAGGTTTTCTTTCTTAGAACGAAGACATCAGCATTGAGTACCTGCCTTGAGTCAGATCGTGTACCATCTGGATTCTCCTCTGTTGTCAAGCCTCATTTTGAGATTGGGTATTCAATAGAAGGTGAACAAGGGCATTGGGGCATTACTATATTTATCAGCTTGTATTAACGGGTTCTGTATAGGTGCCCTCGGACTGTGAAGTTGCACATTAGCTGTCACTACACTGCCTGCCTCCGTGTGGAGCACTACTTAACGCATCCAACCAGGTTCTTCTACTGAAAGACTGGGAGCATTTTTGCCCTGTCCTCTGAAAGTTGGATTTTTCCTGTCAGACATTTCACTCATGCGTTCACATCCTCGTTGCAGAGACCAAAATATCTTAGGTAATGAATTTGTAAGGAGCAAATATTTACTTCTCACAGTTCAGTCGTTCTAGTCCATCAGCACTTGACCCGATTTTGAACCTGAGAAACAAGAATGGGACCTGGATCCCAATATCATTTTTAAGGGCATTCCCCCAGGGAATTCTTCCTGCTAGGCCCTAACACCTAAGAATACCTCTACACAATAATGCCACTGAAAGACCCTGAAGTCTTTCTCTCAGGACCCTCGCCCCAAAGACCACCAGGGAGCCGAAGTTTGCTGCAAAACGCAAGAGGATTTTTATTAAGCCGGTGCACCGGCGTTCAGCAGCCTTGGGGAGGAGTGAACCCCAAGCAGAAATTACAGCAAGTTTTTAAAGCCTAAAACTGCAAACGGGGTGGTGGGGGGTACAAGGGGAGTTTGGAAGTTGGTGCCAGACCTTCATGAATCACGTATGCTTGTGCTTGTGGTTGTCTGGCTGACTGGCTCGTTATCTGTCTCAGGCAACGTCTGTGCCCTGACTGAACTTTGTGACCAACCTGGAATCTTGAGGTCTGGGTAATGTTCCCAAGTCCTTGAGGACCACCAGGGGAAGATGTTTAAGTGTAGCTGCTCACGTCCAAGGATGAGATAGCTTAGTAATTTTCCAACTATTGGGGGGCTAACTGTTGGGCCTCTTCACCACAAGTTGGCAACTAAGCCCTTTGGAAAAAAATAGCTCCTTGGAAATCATTTAATGTTAATATATGCTAAATTTGATGCTAAGTGGCCTTGAGAAAACAAGATTATAAACTGATTTATAAGGCACAGACCTTAATCCCAGTGGGAGGCAGAGGCAGGCAGATTTCTCTGAGTTCGAGGCCAGCCTGGTCTGCAAAGTGAGGTCCAGGACAGCCAAGGCTACATGGAGAAACCTTGTCTTGAGAAACAAAAAAACATGAAGTTTTTCTTCAAAGAACTCACCCTCTTGGTGAGATTATGTGTCTACCAAAAAAAAATGCATTTGATGATTAGTGTTGACAACGCGAATGAATTGAGGAGTTCCTAGGAATTAGTAAAGCACACTTCTTGAGCTATGAGTCTTTGTGGGAGTATCAGATCCTGAGGGCTTTAGCCTCGTGAATGTTTCATCGGTGGATCTTTGAGACTATTGAAGGTGGTGGAACTGTAGAAGGTGGGGCCTTGTGGCTGAGTTGAAGTGTGTCCTTGGGAGTCCTATCTGCCCCTCACTCTTCCCTTTTGTTCTGCTCTATTTTGTGCCTGCCCAGTTGAACAGCCTGCTCCCACAGTCCCTACCATGATGGAGTGAAACCTCTAAAACCATGACTCAAAATAAATCTTTCTCCTTAGGGTTGCTTTGTGGGTATTTTGGTTCCAGCAACAAGAAAGTAATTGACCCATGTTGCTGTGACAGTGATGAGCAGGCGGAACTTAATCAAACAGCAGCACAGTGGTCACAGAATCATGCCTAAAAAGGTGCATGAAAGTCATGTGGTTTTCAAAACTGAAGATTCCCAGCCCTGCCCCAAGAGGAGAACAGCATTCCTTTCTCATCCTCCCAATCTCTTGTGCACTCAGCATTTTATTGTGAAATAACTCTATGTATGCTTAGTGCCAAGTATATCTAGTGGACAAGGTTTCTCTGTGTAGCTTTGGAGCCTGTCCTGGTCTCGAGATCCGCCTGCCTCTGCCTCCCGAGTGCTGGGACTAAAGGCGTGCACCACCACCGCCCAGCTCCAAACAGCAATTAAAAAAAAATTTTCCCTCATACAGAGATGGCTCACTTAGTAAAGCACTTGCTGTGTGAACATGAGCACCTATGGGAAGAGCCAGACTCAGCAGTGTACACACCTGTAATCCTAGTGCTGGAGAGGCAAAGACAGTCCCTGGTGATTGCTGGCCAACCAGTCTACCAGCAAGCTCCAGTGTCCCTGAAGACCCTATGTCAAAAAAAAATAATAATAATAAGCCACATGACTAAGGAAGACACTGTTGGTCTACCTAGCCTCCAGCCTCACACACACACACACACACACACACACACAGAAAAAAAATAGCTTCTCATCTTCTCCATAAGTCCACACATAGACAGTTTCCTGAGGCTTGACTTTTAGCACCATAGAGTGCTTGGGTGGACGGAACCCTTCTGTGCTCTGATGCTGACAGTGTGGGACTAAAGAACTGTGACTCTGACCTGAAGGGAGGGCCTTCTGTCCTTGGTTGCAGAGAACAGCAGAGCCAGATCCTCCTCACAAGTAAGTAGACCATCCAGGAGTGACAGCAAATGGCTGTCATCCCAGTATTGAGATCGCAGGATACACAAGTTCAAGGCCAGGCTGGGCTATACAATAAGACTCCAATGTTTCTTTTTAATTGAAGGACGTTACTTTCCCAGTATTCTTCCATGTTCTAGAGTCTGGCCTTGATTTCTTCTGAAAGACTAGTGTTCCAGTTTAACCTCCTTCTCTGTGACCATGGGAAAGTAATTTCATTATCATGGACCTTGATTTCCTCATCTGTAAAATGAGACATTAACTGTGATGATTTTTAGGTTCTCTGTTAGTTGTCTCATTTCACTATTTTCTTTTTTGGCGGGGGCAAGGGTTCAAGACAGGTTTTCTCTGTATTGTTTTGGAGGCTGCTGTCCTGGAACTCGGTCTGTAGAACAGGCTGGCCTTGAACTCACAGAGATCCGCCTGCCTCTGCCTCCCGAGTGCTGGGACTAAAGGCATGTGCCACCAATGCCCGGTTTCATTTCACTATCTTCTAAATTATTTTTCAACTAGATTCCAATTCATTTGTGCTAGTTGCTAGGCATTTAAAGCTTAGCTGAGCATGACCCTGCCATTTAGAATTGTACAGCCAGTCATAATAAAGGTATGTCAGAGATGCTATGATGTCCCAAAGGAGAAGTCCCTGGTGCATCCTAGTGCTTCAGAAAGGGTCTTGTGAATTGGCCTGAGGCTGGAAGTTCTAGAGTGGATAGAAATGAATGAATGGGCAGAAGCAATGTGGAAAGAACTATGGTAGACTAGTCTTTAGATGACTCCAGGTATGTTTCTCTGCTTCTCATTACTGTCTCCCACCCCTAACTGAATTGTTAGGGTACGGTAGGAGAGACTCTGAAAAGGAAGTGGAAAGTCATACAACGACTGTCTGTAGCGCCAAACAGTTTGGTACTTGTCCATTAGGAATAGGAGACTCCTATCCTGACCTCCTCTACACGTGGCCTTAGGAGATTAGTCCACTTTCTCTCAGTAAGTTAGCCGTATCTCCTGCAGGCTGTTCTGTTTCCTCAGTTGCTGCCTCAGCCTCAGGTGAGAACTGTTTTAGCTAATCCTGGTTATAAAACAGCAGCACTGCCTTCTGAAGAGATAGCTATTGAGCTCTTTCCTGACAGACAAACTACTGAACATTGGGCTTCATTTAGCTCCTGCCATTCTTAACATATTCTATCACTCTGCTTTTCAAAGTGTGGCTTGTTGGCTAGTATCAGCCACGAAGGCATAAGCAGTAGAAATTGAGAGTAAATGTTTATTAAACAGCAAAATGGTTCTATACCACACAGGTAGTTAGAGAAATAACTGTTCCGTCAAGGAAAACCCTAGAGACTCATGATGGATAATGCATAAATAATTGGATTCCTTTTGTGTGCCAGGCCCTGATTGAGGCCTTGGGGAATAAATGTCAGCTTCTCTGTGCTGAGAACTTTAATGGGGATGGAGCAAATGCAACAGCGTGAACAGACACGATGAGATAAGCCATATAAAGAAATGAGCCAGGCTTTGGTGGTGCACACCTTTAATCCCAGCACTCGGGCGGCAAAGGCAGGCGGATCTTTGTGAGTTCGAGGCCAGCCTGGTCTACACAGCAAGTTCCAGGACAGCAGGACAGCCTCCAAAACAATACAGAGAAATCAGAAGGAGGAGGAGGAGGAGCAGGAGGAGGAGGAGGAGAAGAAGAAGAAGAAGAAGAAGAAGAAGAAGAAGAAGAAGAAGAAGAAGAAGAAGAAGAAGAAATGAAAACCAGAAAGAAGTGATAGTGAGTGCACTCTTGGAGGCAGCAGCTTGGCTGAGACCTGACATGGAGCCAGGTCATTCTGGATGGAGGAATAGCTAGTCTGGAGAAAGTTTAATGTGGCTCAAGGACCACAATCTCTGAAGCCAACTGTCATCCTTAGAGGAGTAGTTGAGGTTTGGGCACTATGCTACTTACAAAATGCTACTTTCAGTTTCCTAAATGTTAGCCCCTTAAGACACACTAGTAGCCAGGCCCCTCCCCCTGAGGGGAGACAACAAGATGTCTATTTGGTTTCTTATAGCTGTAACAGTTATGAAAGTAAAATGGAATGAAATGTTACTTGTGGCAAGGTAAAGTATTCATGGTCTTCACAAGAAGAGTAAATGAAGCCGGGCGTTGGTGGCGCACACCTTTAATCCCAGCACTCGGGAGGCAGAGGCAGGCGGATCTCTGTGAGTTCGAGGCCATACTGGTCTACAAAGCGAGTTCCAGGAAAGCCTCCAAAACAATACAGAGAAACCCTGCCTCGAAAAACCAAAAAAAATAATAATAATAAGAGTAAATTAGTATCTTATCATCTCTGCTTAAAAGCAGAGAAGAAATGCCTGTCTTCTGAACCCAGGTTTCCCTCTCCCAATGATAACCCAAAAGGTATAAACATAAACTAGGGGATGAGGCTATAGTACAATGCTGGAGTATTTGTCTAGCATACATGAGATCCTTGGTTCAATACCAAGCACCACCAAAAAGGGGTGGGGTTAAGGAGAGAGAGAGAGAGAGGAGAAGAGGAAAGAGAGAAGGGAGAGAAGAGGGAGAGAGAAGAAAGGAAACCAGTTAAATTTTGGGTTACCAAGTGTTGAGGTCTTAGATCCTCCTGTTCTGGAATCCTTTCTTATCACTAAATTCTCTGTTTCCTAGGAAAGTCAAACACAAATTTTGTGGGGAATCTACAAGAGAAACGCCATCAGGGAGCTGGAGAGATGACTCAGAGACTAAGAATACCTGTGGCTCTTACAAGTTCAGTTCCCAGCACCCACATGGTGGCTCACAACCATCCATAACTCCAGTTCTAGGGAGAAAGAGAGGGGAATTCAGATTTACCATAGTGGTTTTCCTAGTGGCTAATTTTGGAAGAGATGGCCAGTCAGTACTTGGAGTTGCATTTATATTGTGAGTCTTCAAGAAGTACTCACAGATGTTGAAATAGATTCCTGTCAGTGATGTCACTAACACTGAAAGTGAAAAAATATTTATCTTTGAAGTCCCAAACCAAATGGTGGAACAGGATTCTTCTGGGAAGGTGTGTAAGGAGCCTCAGAGGAAGAGTTCTGTTACTGAAGAAAGAATTGAGAAAAGGAGTTAGGAAGAATGTCATCCCATAGACCATTGTTCAAAGAATCTTCAGGTTAAACTCACACCTGATGTAACAGAACCAACCGCTGTCTCCATCATTCCCCAGTGAGACAACTTGCCGAAATGTCCAGTTCAAAGACTCTTTAGTTCCCTTTGACTGTGGCAGTAAAGACATTTGTAGATGGAAGTCACCATTAGTCACCTGCAGGCTTCAGAGAAACCACACAGAGGAACCCTGTAACTGTAATGACCGGGGAAGGCACTTAACACAACCCAGATGGTCATCTCTTCAAGAAAACGCCCGCTTCAGAAACTATACAGATGTGGTCAGTGTGGTGAGAGCTTCCCTCAGAACTCAGAACCAATGCTTCATCAGAGAGACCCCCGAAAGGACAAGCCTGCCAGTGTGAGCACTGGGACCAGTTCACCAGGAGCTCGTCTGCTGGTCCATCAGGCAGTCCCCATGGATGAGAAACCTTACAAGTGTGACAAGTGTGGGAAGGGCTTCACCAGGAGCTCAAGTCTGCTCGTCCATCAAGCAGTCCACACAGGGGAGAAACCTTACAAGTGCAGCAAGTGTGGGAAGGGCTTCAGCCAGAGCTCCAAGCTCCACATCCACCAGCGAGTCCACACTGGAGAGAAGCCCTACGAGTGTGAGGAGTGTGGCATGAGCTTCAGTCAGCGGTCAAACCTGCACATCCACCAGCGTGTGCACACAGGAGAGAGGCCCTACAAGTGTGGGGAGTGTGGGAAGGGCTTCAGCCAGAGCTCGAACCTCCACATCCACCACTGTATCCACACCGGGGAGAAGCCCTACCAATGCTATGAGTGTGGGAAGGGCTTCAGCCAGAGCTCAGACCTGCGAATCCACCTCAGGGTGCACACCGGGGAGAAGCCCTACCTCTGTGGCAAGTGTGGGAAGGGCTTCAGTCAGAGCTCCAAGCTCCTCATTCATCAGAGAGTGCACACTGGGGAGAGGCCCTACGAGTGCAGCAGGTGTGGGAAGGGCTTCAGCCAGAGCTCCAACCTCCACATCCACCAGCGGGTTCACAGGAAGGACCCTCATTAAGTAACACTGGCCGGCTCAGCAGTGAGAGTACTTTTATTATAAAGATAAATACTTTTCACGGCTGAGGGCACAGGTCAGTGTAGAGTGCCTGCCTAGCATATATAAAGCCCTGGCTTTGCCTTCCAGCTTCATACCTTGTACTTGAAAGACTGAGCGTGTGTTTATGTGGAGAATAGTATACATGCTGTGCATATGTGCATGCATGTGTGCACATGTGTGTGCAGGTCAGAGGACATCTCAGGTGCTCAGATGCTCATCACCTTTTTGTTTGAAACTGGGGACTGTCACCAAGTAAGCTAGGCACTGAGTTCCGTGGATCTACCTGTCTCCACTTCTCAGCTCACCACGGCTAGGATTACACCTGTGTGATACCATACCCAATTCTTTATGTGGATTCTGTCTCAAGCTTGCAAGACAAGAGCTTTACTGACTGAGCCATCTCCCCACTTCCCGGCTTAATACTTTTGACTCTTACCTTTGTATTCCTCAAAAGAAAGAGATACAAAGGGTTATTCAGATGTAGTCCCTCACCAGGAAAAACAAAATCAATCCTTCCTTAGAAGTGTCTGAGTACTTAGCACATTTCATGTTCTACAATGAATGGGCGATTCTGGTTTCTCAGATGGGTAGAGTGTACTTTTCAGTTCTTCCAGTGTTATTATAAGTATATTCCACAATTTTAACTGTAAGAACTTTGTATTTTTCCAAGCACAGTATGCTTCCTTTGTTCATATTCTCTAAGAAATTGGAACTCATGTTTCCTTTCAAATTATGTGCCTAGTTTTTCATATTCCTTTTAGGTCCTAAATATCCCTCTCTAAACTATGAACATACAGTGTGTCCATTTGAGGGTGGGGTGGGAGCTGAAGGTATAAAAGACATGAAGAACTGTTAGGTTTAATAAGAAAATGTACATCAGTTTATGGTCACTGCAGGAAGTGCTTCTCCATATACTACTACAAGTCAGCAACTCTTCTCAGGCAGCTGCTATTCAGGAATGTAAATAACTAGTTTTTACTAAGTGAAGTCAGTTTGGGTGGGATATTCCACAGTAAAAACAAGGGAGAATTCCCTGAAGCAACATACCCAAACTAGCATTGTGTGCTTCTGAGACCAGGTGATCAGCAGAAGTTCTGAGGCAGAACTGGAGAAAGCTGGTATACGTGGGATATGTGGCAGCCAATCAGCAGAGGCTGCAGAAACCATCTTAAGACTCGCTAAAGCCGGGTGTTGGTGGCGCACGCCTTTAATCCCAGCACTCGGGAGGCAGAGGCAGGTGGATCTCTGTGAGTTCAAGGGCAGCCTGGTCTACAGAGCGAGTTCCAGGACAGCCTCCAAAACAATACAGAGAAATCCTGTCTGGAAAAACCAAAAAAAAAAAAAAAAAAAAAAAGACTGGCTAAATTAAAATTGGCTAATGGACAGAATACTAAAGATGTGCCTTTGTTAAGCAGGTCTAACTTTCAGTGTTTATTTATAAGAAATGTTTATTTATTAGACCACAGCAGTAAGGAGAACAAGGGGACATCAGCAAAAACTTACAGGCTAGGAAGATGGGTGGCTGGGCATTGTGTCAGTACAGAAGCAGGCATAGTTTATGCCACTCACATAAGGGGATAAAGAAAAGAAAGATCTATTTTGGTTTCAGGCTAACAAATGCTTAATAAAATGAAGGATGGGAATCAATCATGATATAAAAGCCATGACACTAATGACCAATGGTATGTAGAACATTCTCTTCATCCCATGAATATATGTTCTCTTCTGTAGCCAGATTGTAGTTGTGTGTTCTCTGTTTATCCACTTGCTATTTCATTAATTATAAGCTCCTACCTTTATCATCTCTTTAAGTATGTTCTCTTTTGAGATGGGCTACGCAGACCAGGCTGGCCTTGAGTTTACGATGCTCTACCTCAGTCTGCACCATACCTGGCTTTTTCTAATTTCTCTGGGAGAAACTGCTATGTATAGCCAGCCAGAACTTACCTTCCAGTAAAATATGGGATGTTTCTTCTGGCTTTCGGGATCTAACAGTAGAGTAGCTCTCCAGCTCTGATACACATGAAGTTTCAAAGTTACACATTAAGGGGAATAAAAGAATTTTAGTATCACGTTCACAACTTGGGTAACAATTTCTGCTAATGGCACATACTAACCAATCAGTCAAGATATCTTGAAAGCTATCTCCTTTTTTAAAACAGTTGATGCTGAAGAGATACCCCAGCAGTTAAGAGCACCTATTGTGGTGGGGCACACCTTTAATCCCAGCACAAGGGAGGCAGAGACAGGTGGATTTCTGTCAGTTTGAGACCAGTCTGGTCTACAAGAGCTATTTTCAGGACAGCCTAATATACAGAGTGAGTTCCAGGACAGCCAGAGCTGTTACACAGAGAAACCTTGTCTTGAAAAAAAAATTCCATTAGAGATCTCAACTTAGTATAATGATCCATCTGAAAACCTTGGAAAAATAAGAACAAATATCCAACAAAAGTAGATGAGAAGAAATAATCAAAATCAGGGCAGAAACTAATGAAATAGAAATGAAAAAAAAGAATGCAAAGAATAAATGACATGAAGAGTTGTTTCTATTCGAAAAGACTGATGTGACTGACAAACTGACCAAATTAAACTAAAGAAAGGATCCAAATTAATACAACTGGGAGCTGAAAAAGGAGCCATTACAACAGACATCAAGGAATTCCAGCAAATCATAAAAACATACTTTAAAAATCTATATTCCAACAAACTGAAAAAATGTAAAAGAAGTGGTTGAAATTTTAGATATATATGGCCTACAAAAGCTAAGTCAAGAGTCTGGAGAGATGATCTCAGTGGTTAAGAGAACTGTCTGCGCCGGGTGTTGGTGGCGCACACCTTTAATCCCAGCACTAGGGAGGCAGAGGCAGGCGGATCTCTGTGAGTTCGAGACCAGCCTGGACTACCAAGCGAGTTCCAGGACAGCCTCCAAAGCCACAGAGAAACCCTGTCTCGAAAAACCAAAAAAAAAAAAAAAAAAAGAAAGAAAGAAAGAAAGAAAAAGAGAAAAAATTAAGTCAAGATGAGATAAATAAATAAACCTATGGCATTCAATGATATAGAACTTAGAGCCACCAGGGTCTGGTACACTGTTCTCATAAAACTGGGAGGAAAGAAAGCAGCTGCTGTAAGAATGGCTTTCTGCCTCTCCTATCAGGTCTCTACCAGTCAGACGAGTTTTATTTAATGCACTGATTTTCTTTCCTCTGTTTGCCATGGGTACGGTGTGATGTCACTGTCCTCAGGACTGAAGGAATGTTGGCCACATCTAAGTGTCTTCCGAAGACTGTGACCAGAGCCAGTATCTGTCATGAAACCAATTAACTACTTGTCTCCATGAATTCACCATTTCATTTTTTAAAAGTTCTTTTGAGACAGAGACCCATGTAGCCCAGGCTAGCCTTGAACTCTGTATGTGTCTTAGGCTAGCCCTCAACTCCTAATCTTCCTGAATGATGAAAGTATAGTCATGTATTAGCATGTCTGGCTAACCTCTTGTCTTGAACACAGGACTGGACTTCCTATTTCTTTGGCTCCTTTTGTCCTAAAGTCACAGGAAGACTGAAGAGCCCCTAAGGATCTGAGGTTCTTGGGTTCAAGCAGCACCCAGAACAGCTGTAGTACCTCATAGCATTTTTTTCCAGAGGGCAGAACTTGATTGGGCCATGGACATCCCCTGCCTCAGTGGGTCTGGCAGGTTCTTGCTGGTTTTGCTCATGCTAAAGAAAGCATAGTGTCTTCTGGTGAGACGTTTCACTGTTCTAGGTCTCATTTCCCCATGTGTAAATGAGCGTTAGGAGTAGATGTTCCCTGGTATTCTGTGACCTGACTCTTCCTGTAATCCTTTCCTCTGCTTCTTTGTATCTTTCCTTTGGTCTTCCCTGGGAGTGCTCAGGGTCACTGGATTGTGTGTGTTTATGTGTGATTGTACCAAGGGACTTACCCTCATGTAGCATGTACAGGGATATACAGTGACCCAGCAGCAAGCACTTTCCCAGTGACTTGTCTGCATGTGTAGTCTCTCCCTTTCCCGTTCTTACCCCATATAAGCTGGAAACATTATCGACAGACTGTAGGGTGTGTGGTGGTTTGGGCAGTCTGACTTCACTTTAGGGTAGCTGTTGGGAACGTGAAATTTGGTGCCATCACTGAACCAAAGGGATTGTGTCCTGTGACTTTAGTACTTGGTTTTGCATTTTGTTTTGTATTAAATACTTTATTCCTGAAAAAAAAAAAAGAACTTAGAGCCAGATAGATTCAGCAGATAATTTTATCAGATCTTCAAAGAACTAACACTAATATTCCTCAAATTACTCAGCAAAATAGAAGGGAAAAGAACACTTCCAAACTCTTTTTACAAAGTCAGCATTACTGTAATGCCCAAACCAGACAAAACCCAACAAAAAGAGAGAAGAGAAAATCATAGGTCAAAAGCTCTAATGAACATGGATGCAAACGTTCTCAATGAAATCCTTGCAGACTGGAGCTGGAGAGATGGCTCAGTAGTTAAGAGCTCTGGATGCTCTTCCAGTGGACCCGGTTTTGATTCCCAGCACTCACATGACAGCTCACGGCTATTTATATTATTCCAGTTCCGTGTGACCTGATGCCCTCTTCTAGCACATGTGGTACACAGACATAAATGCAGACAAAACATTCATATATACAAAAAATGTTTTTAAAAAAAGCCACTTGGAGCTGGGCATTGGTGGCACATGCTTTTAATCCCAGCACTCCAGAGGCAGAGGCAGGCAGATCTCTGTGAGTTCCAGGCCAGCCTGGTATACAGAGTGAGCTCCAGGACAGCTTCTAAAACAATACAGAGAAACCCTGTCTCGAAAAACCAAAAAGAGAGAGAGAGAGAGAGAGAGAGAGAGAGAGAGAGAGAGAGAGAGAGAAAGAGGCACAGAAAGTTAACTTTCAAGCCTCAAAGCCCACCCCTAGTGATATATTTCTTCCAGTGAAATACCTCCTAATCCTCTCCAGTCACCAGCTGGGAGCCAAGTATTCCAATGCCCAGTATTTACAGGGCACATCCCATTCAAACCACTGTATTTCGTACACCCATGGATTGCCTGAATTAATGTGAAAATGGCTACCTCACCAAAAGCAATCGATAGATACAATGTGATTCACATCAAAATTCCAATACAATTATTTACACAAATTGGAAAAATCTAAATTTCATATGGGAACACAAAGACCCAGGAAAACCAAAACAATCCTGAATTTTAAAAGATTAACGACCTGGAAGGATGTCATCTGACCTCTATTTGCCTGCTATGGCACACGTGCACCCTCACACATATATGCACACACTCATACACATGAAATAAAAGTAATTTTCAACAAGTAATGCCTATATCCCCAGCAACTGAGGAGACTGAGGCAGGAGCACCAGCTGAGTCCAGGAGTTCTGAGCTACATCCCACTGTGCTGATGATGGAGTGTCCACACTAAGTTCTTCAATATTGTGACTTCCAAGGAGCTGGGTGTGGGAACAGGTTAGGAAAAATTAATCAGATAATCCTGGAATAAATCTACCCAAGGAAGTAAAAGACTTTTACAGTAATACTTCAAAACTCTGAAGGCCAAGGCAAGGTTTGATCACATAGTTTGGATCTTTCTGAACATTCAAGTGACTATGCAGAGAGAATGATGTATGCAACCCACATGTGGGAACAGAACATCACTAGAGAGATTATCAAGAAGGATCTGATCCCAGGGAGGATTGATGAGAACAGACCACACTGCCAAGAGAGGATTCTGAGACAGAACTGATGAAGATGAGGCAGGAACTGCCAGCAGGCTATACACACATTCAGACACAGAAAGGCAAGGTTAACCCTGTCAGCAATGAGAGGAGGAAAGTAAAGCGTTTGGCACCCAGAAGTCAAGCAAAGAGGAGAATCGGGAAACCAAGTAGAAGGTCATGTGCACAACAGCAGAGGCTTAACCTTGGGAGGTCACCTCTGGTAGCTATCAAAATAATAAGGAACAGGACAAAGCTAAGGCTCTGAGCCCCTGGCATGCAGCTGGCTCATCTCCACACAGAGACAGAAAGCCTTTAGTGTGACTGAGGTCATGTGAACCGGGCACGGGTCATTACTCCGATGTTAGAACAAGCAACAACTTTCCCCTATCTAGCCAAATGACAAAGTAGGAAGAAACTGCCACATCTATGTTCTAAAGGACAAACTCAAACACAGAGTAATTAAATCTGTAATTTAGAAAGTCTAAACCAAGCCCAGAGGTGGTGACACATGCCTTTAGTCTCAGCACTCAGCAGGCAGAGGCAGGCAGATCTCTGTGAGTTCCAGGCCAGCCTGGTCTACAGAGCGAGTTCTAGGACAGGCTCCAAAGATACACAGAGAAATCCTGTCTCAAAAAAAAAAAAAGAAAAGAAAAAATAAATCTACATCAAGATAGATGAGAATGTACTCAGTGGAATGCTTGCCTAGCCCTGCCTAGCCCTGATTGGTGAGGCTTGCCTATATCTCAGCACCCAGGGAGAAAAACCCAGGAAGATCAAATGTTCAAGGTCATCCTTGGCTATCTACAAAACTTGGGGCCAGGCTGGGACACATAAGACACTATCTCAAAAGTTATAATAATTAGGAAAAAAATCTAGGCCAGCCTGGTCTCCAGGACAGTCAGGAATGTTTCACAGAGAAACCCTATCTCAGGAGGAAAAAAAAAATCTAGATCCCAGATAAAATTCCTGGTGATTTTTTTAAAGGTTTATTATGTATACAGTGTTCTGCCTGCATGTATGCCTGCAGGCCAGAAGAGGGCACCAGA